AGAGAAGGAGGCATGAAAAGTGGGGACTGTGTTGGAGAAATTAAACACCAAAGAAACAGTGTTGGAGGTGAGGAAGACAAGTGCATGGGAGATTGCTTCCTACTCTGAATTGTAAATTATCTCTAATGCCTCAAAAATTGTACCCTATTTTATATTCTCAACCCATTCATCAATTTTTATATATAAGTGCAATACTAGTATGACAGTGATACAAAATATTATTGCAATTTTTTTATTGAACTGATATTTAGTTTTGTGCATTGTAAACCGTTAAAATGCTGGTTGATTCCTTTGGGGTACACCCACCCCTAGCATGTCCTTTGAGAGCATTTGGAATGGACGATGGGATCACAAAGTCCACGCGCCGCTTGGTGGGGCTGGGTGCGCAACGGCAAGCTATTGCAGGCGATAGAGGTGTGCCCGGCGCCGCAGCATAAGCAGGACGTCGGGTCTGGAGCGCGGGCGAAGAGGCAGTGACGGCGTCCACAACGTCCTTTGCAGATGACCACCACGCCTCTAGAGGGGATTTTTTGCTTTTTCGATTTTTTTTAATTTTCAACTTATAAATTCACCACATCTCCAACTCTAATTTATTCACTAACTACACTCTTATCTCACTCAATTTACTCTCATCTCAATCTCCAAAAATATACTCCCTCCGTCTGGAAAAAGTGTTCCTCTTTTGACTTTGTGTAAAATAAAGAAGTATTAAATTTTAGTTGACTTCCAATTTTGCCCTTGATGTGATATGTAAAAATAAGATGTGATTGATAGATTATTAGAGATAAAGTATGATGTGATAGGCAGGGTATGAAAACGTAAGGGTAAAAGTGGTTTTTCAATAGAAAGCGGAAGTGTTTTGTTGGAAGTGAAAAAAATGAAAGGGGAAGTGTTTTTGAGAACGGAGGGAGTAATATATTGTATTTCACTGCGTTCTACCTACTCCCTCCGTCCTAATTCTTTCTTTCCAATTTGACATTTTCCCATTTTTAATTTTTGGCTTTGACTTCAAATTTTATCCTCATTAAAAAAGATTTTTTGATTTTTTTTGCAATCATTCAAAATATAGAGTTAGAAGATAATTGGTGTAAATACATGAGGGTATTAATGTCATTTGTCATCTCTCTTTTTCTAATGGGAAGGTAGTTTTAGGACGAGGAAAAAGGGGAAGTGAGAAGAAAGTTTTAGGACGGAGGGAGTATTTCAGAAGCATGATAACATTTACTCCCTTCGTCCCATAAAGTGTTACCCATTTTGACTAAAGTTGAAATTAAGGGAGGGATAATTTTGTGTTGACTTTCCAAAAATACCCTTGATGTGATGGGTAAAAGTAGGATGTGATGCGTAGATTATTAGCAAAAAAGTATGATATGATAGATAGAGTTTGAAAAAGTAAGGGGTAAAAGTGGTTTTTAATAGAAATGTCTAAAAAAATTGTGGGACACATTTTTTTTGAAATGTGTAAATCTTTTTGGGACGGAAGGAGTATTTATTTGTGATTTTCATTGATTGTTTGATAAGGTGAAAATATTCTTCTCACATATACTTACATGGAAGGGATGACAATTTCTACCAGATCTGAAGGATAGCCGATTGTCAAGAAACCAACTCAACCAAAACTCAAGCTTATGGTTGTGAGTCAGGAAATGTTTCTTATATTCTAAAATCTTATGGTTGTGACTTAGGAAATGTTTCTTGTATTCCCTCTACTCCCTTCCCTTTACCTTAATCGTCTTTTGGTATATTTAAATATGTCAAAAGATGATTAAAGGAAGGGAGTCGGAGGTGGGAGTTTATTAGGGAGAGGGTTAGGGTGGGTAAAAATTCTTAATTTTACGATCGAAATGTTGTACTCCCTCCGTTTGCAAAAAGACTTCCCATTTTGATTTGGGGCAAAAATAAGGAAGTGTTAAATTAGAGTCGATTTCCAATTTTGTCCCTGATGTGGTGGGTAAAAGTAAGATGTGATGGATATATTATTAGAAAAAAGTATGATGTAATAGGTAGGGTATGAAAAAGTAAGGGTAAAAGTGGTTTTTTAATAGAAAGGGGGAATGTTTTGTTGGAAGTGGAAAAAATGAAAGAAGAAGTGTTTTTGAGAGCGGAGGGAGTATGTGTTCCTTAATTGAACCGGTGTAAGAGAGTGATGTAAAAGTGATCGAGTGGTGTGAAATTAGCCTAGATATCGATACAAGAATAACTTTATTAGATTTATCTTTTACAATATTTCCAGATGTTGTTTGGTCTTATTAATACACGATGTAATTTTACGGAGTATTTAATTATAGGCTAAATATCAATCTTGTTAATTGATTGTAAAACATTAAAACTGAACAAAACACTCAACGAAGGTTCTATACTATTTCACCTATATTTGAATTAGCTTCAACAAATTTAGAAAATATTATTCAACGGTAATTTTAAATTTTATTATTTCCAAATTTAGTTCACTCTATCCGCTAATAACAGAGTAATCATCATAAATGTTGTTCTTAAGTAAAGCCTTCATCTATTGTGCTAAATTAAAGTCCCACATACAAACTTGAAATGAAAAAGAAATAGGTTTAAAAAGTTTTTGAATTAAATTAGGTAATCAAATTGAACAAATTAAATCTTGTAACGTAGTTCAATACAAATATATACTCAGTATCTTATTTATGGCCTAATCCATTGGTCTTTAATTATTTCTTGGTTAGTCTTTTCACTTCTCACCATATATTTATTTTGCCGCACGAGTAGCTCAACTGGTTCAAAGAGAGGATGTCAATTCGTTGATCTCCCGATATCAACAGTGTGCGAGTTTTATTATTTGTAATAGCTCCTTGAGATTATATTATGATTTAACCCTCGAGTAGGCGTTCCACCATATATTTAAATAATGAGTTTTATTTGTATGAGTTTTACTGTTTTTTTTTAAATAATTTAAGACTTCTAGTTCTCCTTCCGTCCAATAATTTTTTCTTACTTTCCTTTTTGGGTTAAGTTATCTAAAAAAGAATTTTCCGTTTCTATTTTGGCAAAAAACTTTTATTGAATATGTCATTATATCCCTTCTTTTAATCTACTATTTATTTTATTTCATCACATCAAAGGCAACACATGAAAAGTCTTTACACTTTTTAATTTTTCTTAATCTCTGTGTCAAGTCAAATTGGGAAAGAATTTTTTGGGCGAATGGAGTATTATTCTTTCCATTCCAATTTAATTAAGTTATCTATTTAATATTCACGGGATTAAACTTTAACCACATTCTTTACTCATTTTTGCTACCTATATGAAAAAATAATATGTTCTTGTAACATCTTTTTTTGTAAATCTTTTGGTATAATTTTTTAAATATATAAATTTTATTTCCACACTAACTTTCAAATAAATTGCATTATAAATTATTTCTATCAAACCTCATCTCAGCTGGTAAATAACAACTGACAGTTTAAATTGGGATAGAGAAAGTAATAAGTAGTCTTAGCTTGCAATAAGAGTATTTACAATGGGGTTTTTCTGCCCTACCTCAACTCCTCCAACATCGGCATTCCACTAACTTTTTGCCTGCCCAAAATCCTGTAATGCTATCACCTAGTTCACCCCGAAAAACCTCGAAATAAAAGACGAAATGAATGAAAATTAATTTGAAGTGAAATATGTGTTGAATTTATATGGGTTGAAATATTTTTTTTTCAAAAAAGGAATTGCACCTCGACGGACCGCCACAAAAATGCACCGGTTTTTCGGGGCAGCTCAGCACCGCGGCGCTCAACGGGGCCTGTGCCGGGGCGGTTTTTACGGCGGAAGTGCTGCAACGGGAGAGGGCAGTAGCGGGTTTTGGGGGGCGTGCGTCACGGCGGAAAACCCCTTGCAAATGCCCTGAGGTCCGCATCATATCCATAGAGGGAATTTAATTATTCAACCATCAAATTTAACCTGTCGGTCGGACACATCATACATAATGTTGACAACTAATTGTCTCCTAAGAGCATCTCCAACCTTATCAATATGGCTTGCTAAAAGTTATATAATAGCAAGTGAATCTCTTTTTTCCATCTCCAAGGGATATGGTATATTTTAACATACTTGTCAAAAATTAAAATTGGCTTGCTAAACCTAGCAAGCCATCCAAATAAAAGCAAGCCAAGAAAATTAATAAGAAATTAAATTAAAATCCAAAAAAGTAACGGGAATAGGAAGAGGCACATGAAAAAGTCATTCTTCTTCCTCCGTTAGTGAATTAATTCACTTTAATTCATTTTTAATTACTAAAAGGGAATTCATTATATTTTAAAATCTAGTTGTTAGTTAAATTTTAGCAAGCATGGTTGGATGATGGATTAAAAAACTACTTGCTAAATTACTATTTACTAGTTAAAATTTAACAATANGAAGAGGCACATGAAAAAGTCATTCTTCTTCCTCCGTTAGTGAATTAATTCACTTTAATTCATTTTTAATTACTAAAAGGGAATTCATTATATTTTAAAATCTAGTTGTTAGTTAAATTTTAGCAAGCATGGTTGGATGATGGATTAAAAAACTACTTGCTAAATTACTATTTACTAGTTAAAATTTAACAATAGCATTTTAATATAGCAAAGATGGTTGGAGATGCTCTAAATGGTAAAACTGTTTCATACTACCTCGTGCCTATAATTTTACAGTATTTTTCTTCTATATCTAACTTGTGAGAGTATAGATATTAATCGTGGGAAATTTACCTAAATAACACTAAAAAA